AGTGAATCATCTCAAAGTAAAGTTAGCGATAAACACAAACCCGACGACAAAGACCAGGTGAAGGGAAAAGAAGAACACCCTAATGTAAGCTCAAATGCAAAGAGAATTAAAGATGATGTTACAGAGAAGGTAAGAGTTATTTCATGTTATCTTTGAGTAATAATTTTGGTTTCAACAAATYGACAGACAAGACATTAAGCCCCTGTCTCAAAAATATGCTTTTCAACTTTGCTTTTCAATGTGTTGCCTTGAATCACTTTCAAATTTAGCAATTTGCGAAATTCATGCAGTCATTAAATGAAGCTGCTGCTTGGTAATTTTGCCTACTTTTTCTACTTTAMAAATTCCTCCCTCTAAACCAAACAAACTGTGAATTAGTGTTTATAGTTCATTTTGTTTTGAGAGGAAGTCTCATGCAGCTTAGTACTGTACACCTCTAAGTTTTGATTGCCAAAAGGAACAATCAACAAATTATAGCATTCAACCATTGACGTGTGCATATTTATGAGAATTGCAAGAAGCAAGCTGCACAAATGACTTTTTGAGAGCTTAATCATCTGTCCAAATACAAAAAAGTCCTATTCAATTGGCTGCTTAAATTTCCAATTTTAACCAGTGAAATTTGCTTTCAGGGGATTGAGAATGACTCTCCTGCTCCAAGAAAAGACTCTGACTACAGTGTAGACAGCGAGGGAAATGGTGACAGCAGTATGTTTAGTGGCAGACCACTTTCTGTTGACATTGCAGACTCATCTGAGCCTCAGGAGCGTCCACCAACTCCAGTATCTCCAACATATGAAATGAGCAAGAGAATGTACGCAGCACGTCAAGCTTGGGATAAAGCCCCTTCATCCTCAGTTGGTTTGACAGCAGTTGCCATGGACTCTCCTTCAACTTGGTCCGAAAGCAATACTGCTCCTGTTTCAAGGACAGTTGTGAATTCTAGTTCAAATGAAGGAAGTTCTCTYGGAGAAAGTRCACCTGTAAAAGTTAATGAAACAAGAGAAATCGCTGATGATACTGTCGTTAAATCTGATGTCTCCAAATCTGCTGAGACCCAGTTCATTGCTAAAAAGCCAGGAGGAAATGAACAGCAGAATGTGTGCAAAGTCAAGCCACAGCAACAGCAGGCTGTCAAACCYCAACACGTCTTACTAGCTGCTTCAACTGAAGAAAGACGACCATCTGACTTGGACACTATKGCTCCTTCTCAAACRGTTATTGCTCAAGACCACCTACTTCCACAAAATGTTAGTTCAAGTTACCCATTCCAGCTTGAGCCTCATATCCTGCAACTTCAACATCGTCAGCCTCAACACTTCATGCAACCTCTGCAATCMCTACAGCAGTCAACTCAAGTACCAGCTAACAGATACCAGATTCAACCCCAAATTCAGCAAGTTCCTCATCAGCCAACTTCMGCACCATCACCACTTTCACAGTCACCCCAAGAGCTGTTTCAGTCACAGTATCTGGCAAATAATTTGTACTCTGCAAGCGGATTTCCTGGATCTCAGTCATTTGTGTCMATACCAATRGTTGCAACAACCACAACCCCTTCCTTTGCTACTTCATCCACAAGAACACAGTCACTTCAAGGACAGCAGCCTAAAACAGTGACCAGTTCTATGTTTGGACAGCCAGGYTCTCAAGCACAGACAGTTTACATGCCTTTTGACCCACAAAACATTGGAGGCACTCCGACACTTCTTAATTTTAATCAACAGTCACAAGCACAACGGCCAATTATTGGTAACCATGGAGTCGGTTTCCCTGATGTTGTAACACAGCAACAGCACATGGCTCAAACCAATCAGCATCAAGCATCGCAGCAGTTTCAGCGTCCATTTGCATTCCAAACTAAGSCATCTTTTGAAAATGAACACAACCCTTCAATGAAGACCCTTGATCAAAGTCAAAGTGATCTCAACCATCAACAGTCTGAAATGGTGAAGCACATMAATGCCAAACCCTTTGAACCACCAAAGAGACTGTCAACTCCAACATCAAGCACAGGTGCTGTGGGTCTTATGGCTTCAGGAGTAAACCCAAATGTTGTCCACATTAGGCCCAATGCGCCTAACATAGGTGCTCTTTCACACAGCCCTCCGATGCAGACACCATTCATTTCCAGTAGGCCAGTGTCCATGTCTCCAGTAGACCCTAATGTTCCTTTTGCTGCAGGAGCAAACTCCTTTGCAAAGCATGCACCAATTGGGCATTATCAAGTACCCCAGCAGCAGAGGCAGCAACCACCTGTTCAGCAGTTCACTCCATTTCAGCAACAACCTGTTCATATTAAACCACAACAATTGCAGCAGCATCAGCCTATTCACTTGCAACAGGCGCAGCCAAATCATTCCCAACAGCAGCACAATCCAGCCCATATTGCTCCATCAGGTGGACCTGCAATTCCACCTCAAGCATTAATTCAAAGACAGTATGGGGCAGTGGGAACTGTCAGACCATCGCAGCATGCAGTGGGAAATCAACACTTTCCTGGTCCAATTCAAAGACCACCTTCATCTGGTGTAATGCCAACCATTCCTCCGAATATTTTACAACATCAACAAAATGCAGTCCAGCAGCCAAGAGCTATTCGACAGCAAGTGTCACGCATGCCACACAACATTCAGAAACCACCTATGATGTCAAACCGTCCACCTATGCCACARCAAATGCAAGTTGGTGGACAGCAAAACCCATTTAAAGCATTGCAGCATCAAAAGATGTTAGAAGAAACACGCATGTTCTTTGCAAATCAAGATCAACAAGTGAAAATGAAGTCTCAACAACAAAACGAGGCAGATAAGCCAAATCTGTTGCCACAGCAACAAGTACCAAAACAAGGACAGCCATTTCAACAGTCCAATTTGAAGCAAATGCATTCCCAACCAAAACAGGTCCAAGATTCTAAAATGCCCTCGCAGCATTCTAGGCAATTATTGCAACAAAAGCAAGTGCCACTGGCTCCTTCTTCGGGAGTGCATCATCAGGCTAAGCCCCCAAGAATGTCTCAAGACAAATCAAAGCAATTAAATCAAGACAAGAAAGACAAGAAAGAAGAAAACAAGTCACATATCATTGAACTACCAAGGAAGAAACCACAAGATAACAAGTCAAAACAAACCAAATTGGAACCGACAAAAAATGAAGACACAAGCCAAACGTCAAAGCTAGATGGGAAAACMCCCATCAACAAGAGAGGAGGTCCAATTCGTATCGCACCTATGATACAAAAGCCTCCTCAAGGTGGTGGACGTGGGAATCGGCTCAACAAACCCCGCGTACCATTGAAAAACACTTCAAGTGTTCAAGGTAATAAACCAAAAGCAGAAGTACCTACAACTAGGCCTGCAACAGGGACTACTGCAACCGCTACTGGGTCAGCTAGCAAGCCTGCCAATGAAACAGCAGCAAGTTCAAAGGGGAAAGACCCCAAAGAGTCAAGTGCAAAAGAATCTGGAGAAGTCCAAGCAGCTGAACCTTTGTCTGCAAATACATAAAAACATTGATGAAGACACTTGACAAATGCTTGTTAGTGTCAAGCAGAAAACATTGTCATAGGCCCCGTGACAATTAATTCTCTCTTATTTATCGAGTTAACCCTTTGTTGTGATATAAAGTGGCTCTATCCAATCTCAGATTGAAAATTTTTCATTTATTAATAATTTGGGATCTTTTGTAAAACAATTAGTTTTCATTAGTGTTTTCAGTGTTTTATGACTGAAAAGTGAATGTTACAGTTGTACAAAGATTTACAATAACAAATAATTTATTGATAAACCATTGGACAGCTTCACTGAAAGAATTTATTCAATATATTGATTTGCTCAAGTGCTTGTAAAATTTGTAAGTTGCTCGAGAAAGTAAAGGTTATCATTGAGTGAGTTGTATGATATCTCAATAAATCACATGGTTCTCTATCCCAATGAAATCAGACACTTCACAGATTTTTGATTTTTTTTTTTTTTTTTTTTTTTTTTTTTTTTTGCTGAGATATGTCGTTTACCATCGAATTGTCAAAAATGTTATTTAACCACAAGGTCAAGTCAAATGGATAAATAACTTTTTTGACAAAGAAATGACACCAACCTTGGTAAATAAGAGCACACATCCATTTATGTTTTTTTACCGCACAAAAATATTTTACAAGTAGATAATCCGAGAAAGAAAAGAACAACATTGCGATCATGGTATGTTCCTTCATTTCTACCATGGCTCTTCATCAATCAGAAATTGAGAAAATTTGCAATTGTGGCTATTTTAAATATTTAATGAAAAAAGTAAGTGTTGCGAAAATCCTTATTTTCATGAATTAAACCAAGTACAAGCGACCTCTGTACAGCAAATTGGTGTGCAAAAGTTCATAAAAGTCCGGTAATTTATTTTTGCAAAAGTGAGGCAAAGCAAGGACTTCCCGTTGAATTCAGTAAAATATTGAGTGCTTCATTGCACAAAGCCTTCCTTGTTGCAAGGGGAAATCTTGTGTTAATAACTGCATTTATTTAAAGTCAGACTTTTTTAGCTTTTTACTCCCAGAAATGGGTGAATATTGAACGCGAATTCCGATGGTCGAGCGCGGAGCGCGAGACGGACGTTTCGAAAGTCTAATTGTTAGACTGGTGTAGGAGGGGTAGGAGTTTCTGTGCACGAGATGAAATTGCGGGTACAGTTTTAACTATTATTTAAAAATAATATAACCTAGTTTTAGGAATGGTTCGCCGCGTTTGCTCTTAACTGGAAATAAAATTCTCAGATGTTCTAAATTTTGTCTGTAGTTATGGGGGAACTTTGGTAATTTGGAGGAGCAGAGAATGGATCCAAGTTTCAATTTAAACACAGGAACCCCAAATTCATAATTTCGCAAGTATTGGCAGAAACTGAACAGAAACATTCTCTTGGTTTTTCAAMTTCGTTCACCGTTTTCTATGCATTTCAAAGTCAATTTTAAGAGAGGGCGATGTCGTTCAGGCGAGCTATTCATCTGCAATTTTCCAGTGGAGACACCAACGTGTTTCATGTACACTCGKTCAGGAACGATTCCTCACATTGCTATTTATCACGATTTACTAGAGCACAACTTCGAAACAGTTATTCAGCTAACGTTACCAACTCTGTGAGTATTACTTTAATTCATTCCTTACTCAATATTTGACTACGAAACATTTTAATTGGCTAAAGCTTTTGGCTAATAAGTGTATTATTTATTATAACGTAAGAAATGTTATTTGAAAGATGCGTGTTCGTATCCTATTCTGATATGTAATCGAGGAACTTAAACTTGGCATTTATATTGAACAAAAAAAAAGGAAAAAAGGGTTGGGGAAAAAATAAGGAAGAATAAAAAAAAATAGTATTCGACCACGAAGGGACTCGAACCCTCAATCTTCTGATCCGAAGTCAGACGCCTTATCCATTAGGCCACGCGGTCATTGATGTAGAAGTAGCACTGATTTTGTATTCAAATACCTTAACGTTTGTTTTGTTTCTCGTATTTAGCGTAGATCAACCAAGTGTTGAATTAGTAAAGAAGTTAGATAAAGGGATTCACTCCTTCATTGGAAGTAAGGTTCGTATGTTTTTTTGTCAAACGTGGATATTTTTTGTTGAAGTCCTTGGGGATTCAATTCAGCCATCTTTATAAAGATTAAAATGAGTAAAACAAATTTAGCGAGGAACATCATTACGTTAAAATAAAGGTAGTTTTTTAGTAGTCTAAAAGCGCTCGAATAAATAATTTTAATGATTTAATAATTTGGTAATCAGCATCGGCGCACGTCATAATACCACAGGTAGCCCAAGCGCGAAATCATTTAATAGTTATTGAGAAATACCCGAATCTTTTAGGTWCGAAGCTTCCTCACTGTACAAGACCCCGCCAAAGAACCGCCAGTCGGATATAACGTCGACAAAGCTGTATCTGTATGGACTCCCGGGGGWAGAAGGCAGGCAAGTATACAATAAGTACTGATGAGGGCAGGTTGCTCTCGTTTCAACTTATGTTACGTCGCAGATTGTTTTCCTTCGTCTGTTTCTTTGTTTTTTTCTTTATGTATATTTTAATTATTGTTGGTCTTCTGCTTGCGCTTATGCTAATGGTTTTGTATGCGTTTTCCTCTACGTTTTGTGCTTATCAATCAGTTAATTACAATGTCGGATGAAAAAGCCTTGGCAGTCTTTTCTTTCTGTCGACATTTGTGTTCTCACTCCCAGCGTATTTCTCTTGAAGTGACACGTGTTTCTCTTCGTCTGTGTAGCGATACAAGGACAATACAAGCGACTTCTTGTACAAGGGAGATTAAAAAATTGGCTTGTCTTTGATTAAAATGTGTAAATGAAGAACAGGGTTTATTTGCTTTTGGATTAGATTTAAACTTTCATGCTTCCTTTTTTTCGTATACCTGTTTCGTTTATGCGCAATATGACGCCCTTGCGCGTGTAAATATTTTTTACACAGGCATACCAAAACAAATATCCTAAAACGTCCCTCATAAAAAGATTGTCACGAAGATTTTACTGGGTTTCATTCCTTTTCTTTAGATTGATGTCCAGCAATTTATGGCCATCGTAGAAGCCTTCAAACCAAATCTTGTTGAATGTTTATGTGATACAATACCATCAACTGGCCAGTCGGCAAAAAGAATTCAGAAATCTGTTGACAGAACTTTAAAATATCTTGAAGAGATTGTTAAATACAAGGAAAACAGTAAGGTAAGTTACTAAAGTGTCAAACGGTACGGTTGAAATGACAGAGCATGCGTGATAAGTAAAATTGTGGTTCTTGTTATTATTACGCGTGCTTATACTTATGTGATTTTCATGATCATCCCACATGGCTTAGCGCCCCATCCAGGCGCGTAGCGTCCGTTTACATGCGTACTAGTGGCAAGGAAATATTAAAATTTTCAAAAAATTCACATAAAATTGATCCCTTTTATATGCTCTCGATGTCTCTCAAAACGCTGGAAATCGCATTTCCAAGACTTTTCTTAAAAATTTCCTGGAGGAGATCCAGGTTAGACCCCCAGATCCAAAATATGTGTCGCAGTCCCTGACATGTGCGTACTAGACAAAAAGTACACGCTAGCTACGCGCCTGCCATCTCCTTGTGTTTTTTTGTATTTGTTTTGTTTTTTGTTGTTGTTGTTGTTTTTTTTGTGTGTGTGTTTTTTTTTCTAACTGCGGAGTTCAAGAATGTTTACAACAATCCGTGATCGTGAGACTGTTGTTGTTGTTTTACAGGATTCACAGTATAGTTTACTAGGTGTGATTGAAGGCTCAGACTCACTCGAGGAAAGACAGAGATCGGCCAAGGAAACTGCAAAATTCCCAGTATCAGGTTTTGTATAKTTTTGTGACATAGGGGTATTTGAACCTTTTTTCTTTTAGCGGGAGAATTAGAATTTTCACTTACAACCTATGTGTGATTTCTTTTTTACAGGCTTTGTTGTGGAAGGATTTGCTGGTCATTTTGGTGATTGGCCATATTTGTTGGACAAGACGACGGTGCGAAAATACCTATTTCAGTTGTGGATTCAGAGTTGATTGTGTGCATTTTTGTAAAACTATGTAGAGTTGCTAACGACCTCCAAGAGCCTGAGGCACTGGGCGATTTGTGTTTTTGTRCATCCTATAACCCCCTGGATCCTCCATTGAGTACAGTGTCACACTGACTTGWTTATTGATTGATTATTTATAGTCTGTTCTCCAAGAAGATTTACCAAGGTTTATTCAAGGTATCTCCTCTCCTGGTRAGTAACTCGTCGCCTCCAGTTCTCTTCCTTCTCATTTAACACAAAACTCCTCCGTTATCCACATACAGGCAAAGAATAATCGATTCTTGTATTTTGTTTCTCATCGTAGATGATGTTATCAAGGCCGTCGAATGTGGCATTGATGTTTTCGATTCAAGGTGAGTAACACATATAAGTATTATACTTCACTATAATGTCTGTTATAAGTCGCTCGCTCTTCCATATTGTCTCTGGTGCGTGCACTAGCCTCTATACAAAAACGTTTCATCTTGCGTTTTATTCTATTTTTATAGAAGTAAGTTCTTGATGCACACTTGATTCACTCCTCGCCTGCATGGTGCTTCCCTAAATAAAGGCTTCTCTCGATACCAGTTCAATTAGATTTTATCTTCAACACCTCCGTACCTGAAAACGATAAACTCAAATTAACTCTTCTTGCATTACACACCAATTCTCTGTTTTAGTTACCCGTATCAAGCCACTCAAAGAGGTTGTGCTTTAGTATTTCCTTCAAGCAGCAAGAGATTTAAATCTGAGWATACAACGACAGATAGTTCGCCAGTCGAAACAAAAAATGACGGAAAAGTAAAAGAGAGTGCGAGTCCAGCTTATAGTGAATATGAAATAAACCTGAATGACTCCAGGTGAGCTTGAACAGCCAATCGCGGCAAATGTATTGTGGTGAATTTTAGGGACAAAGGGCTTACCATATTTGGTCAACCACGTGATCAAACTATTCAAAAGGCGGGAAATTGAAGGCGCGTGCTGTTACCACATCGTGCAACKATCTCACAGCAGCTTCTCTCGCGGCGGCACTGTATCTATACAAAGAAGACATTTACTAGAATGGAGACGTTATTTGACGTTTCACTGGGTTGCTGCCGAATGTACAGAGAAAAATAGATATGCGTTATATGTACTTCATGCAATGCTACGAGCAGCAAAAGTAGTTGCTGACGCCGCGAAAGGAGCGCTGTACTTATCAGTTCCTAACACGGCCGCCATCTTGAATGAAGTTTGTTCAATATGGCGGTCGCATTGGTATATAATTAAATAAAATCTATTCAACGGCCACATTGACAATAACAGTGTCATTTATATAACCTCGATGTAACTATATTTGTAGGTTTAGTAATGATTTGAATAGTGTGGGCAGCTGTGGGTGTGACTGCTGTCGAAACCATTCGCGAGCCTATATCCACCATCTTCTAGTTACCAAGGAGATGCTTGCCCAAGTGTTGCTCATGACGTGAGTRCAGTGTTATCATGTCGTCCATTTTAACTGTTTATAATTGTTGATGGTTTTCAGGGTGATTTGCAAAACGTCAAATAATTAATATAACTTGTAGTTATAACTTTTTGTWACGAGAAATATTGATAATGTTCGGGCATATATGACCATAAGATTCAAATTTCCTACTACCCAAAATCCCCTTCGAACTTGACTTMGACCGATTTCACCTTGAGAGTAGCTCCTCACGGTTTGCAAGATCTTATCCGATTGGTTTACTAGGCTATTTGTTGAATAAAAGAAAACAATAGAATTAGGAACGAGGAGACAATGAGTATTGTTTAATTCCTCCAATCACTAGAAACCTTACAAACTCGTAAAGGAGTAACAGCTTCTTGAGATCGTTAACAACAGAAAAAAATTAATAACCATTTTTATATGTTTTATACAGGCACAATTTGTACCAGTATTATAAGTTCTTCGAAGACATAAGACAAGCCATTCAMAAAGAACAATGGGAAGAATTCAAGGATCGCTTTAACTTGGGAAACCGCTGAAGGCTGTGCTGTTAACACTACTSTGTTCCCTGTTCTCTCTGTACATGGTAGGACACAATAAAGTAGAATGAACATCACATGACTGTTTTAAAGAGATTATGAAATTATTTGACTTTGAAACTTTGTATATTTTTGTACATACTGCACCAACTGCAGCAACAGCTACAAAAATAACCAGCCGTACAGGTACTATTCAAACTAAACTTTGATTAGAAAACTTTATAAGTGAAACGGTTTTAGAGCTAATTAAAATAGTGGTTCTTATTCCTTTGAATGCTAGTTGAACTCTTTAATTTAAAAATCAGGAAATACAATCATGTGAAATTATGTCTTTATTGTTTATAATAAATAAAACCACTCACGATTACATAATTAAATGTCATTCTTGATAAATATTTTGCACGTTATTGTATAAATAACAAGATTTCACGTTTTTAAACCACGCCATTTTAAATGAGCGTGAAAAAAAAAACTTTTAGTGTTCACGCTAAACTCGTGTTCACAACCACATAGAATGATATGTAACCTATGGTTTGTTGTCAATCACGTAATTATAAACCACACTCGTTCTATCAATTAATCAGCATTTTATCTCATAGAACGTTGCTTCATTACAAAACTCCATCTCAAACACTACCTGAACACGTTAACTTGTTACGTAAATAGACGGCGTAACGCATTATGCATGGAMGCACGTTAATCGGTTACGAACGTTATTTCATTAATCATTCAAAGTGACACTTTGAACAATAGWGGCATTTGAATCTCTATATGATCGGAGTTGCATTTCTGGGACAAGCCTTGCGTTGTTATTACTGTGTTCCTGGACTGGTGGTACGTAGCTTTTCACTTTATCTGCCTGCGTATTGTCCTTCCTGGCACAAAAGAAAGACATACGTTAATCATTATACTTCAAAGAAGCGGGATAGACATGCATGCGTATTCTGCCTGTTCATCATGCAGTATAGTTCGTCATATATCATGCATCTAAGCAACGTCAATTTTGGATTTCGAATGAAATCCGTCAGGACGAGGTTTACTGGTAGTCACGTGCATGGTYGTGTCACGTGAGTTGTAGATATCTTATACTTTTACACTATTTTGCAAACTATATCGAGTATATATGAAGGTGCATGTCAAATATTTGCCGCCATGTTTAATGAAGAAAACAAAGAAATCTTCATTAGTTTCCCTTGTTCATTCATCCAACATGGCGACGGTAGCTTTGCTCTTTATTTCTCAGTGTCACGTTGTTACATCATATTTAACAGCCGCCGTCAGCCGTCGTATATTGAATGAACATGACAAAGTATTCTTGATTAGTTCCCTTGTTCATTCATCCAACATGGCGGCGCCGAATAGCTTTGTTCTTTATTCCCCTGGGGATCGATGTTGTTACAAACATTGAGTAACAACTTTATTTATAGAGGATAAAACACTTGAATCATGCGTTACTTCAGTTTCTGAAAGAACATGCTTCATAACATGCAGAGCGGAGACGATAATACGATATTTTCAGTTCTTCTAGCTTAATATAGCCGTTCACTTTGGAAAACTAGTCATGCATGTGCAAAAACCTTGACCTACATACAGTTTTAGGGTTGAAATATGCTTTCATCTAGAAGGTTTGCGGCGAACTTGGGTTTCCACATTATGCGACCACTTTGTCGATGCTAAAGTAGTGTTTAGAGGTAAAGTCAACTAACATATAAGAACCCTCAACGGCCCTATATTGTTTTATGRCGTCAGGGTTTATTTTGGCGAGGTACATCATGGTATCGAGGGACGGAGACGACCGATAGTTTCTTGCGAAATAGCCGATTTGTGAATTTCGTCTCTGTAGTCAAACACAAAAGAATCAAGAAGAGGCGACGTGCATAATATAAACCTTAGTCAATCGTAAAAAACTGTTGTCTTTTCACGAATGGCTGAGCTTTATGCACGGCGCCTCGTCTTGTTTCCTTTGTGTGTGACTAGTGAGGTAAAATTCACAAATCGGCTACGCACTAGAGGGTACACTTGTAAAAGACAAGTGAGACTGATTTGTAATACTTTACGCTAAACARCGGTTTGAACTGGCGTCAATCCCACAGTGCATTTCGCCGAAAACCGCATGACGTCATGAYGGGAAAGAACCAAAGTTGGCCAAATGCAGAGAGACAATGGCAGGTAGAGTATATACAATTGCTCTGCAATAGCCGCTAACAATTGAACACTCGCTATAAACATGGCTCTCTCTATCTTTTATAATGACAAGAGCCAGACATACCTTTGCACTTTTGATTACAATCCGGGCGTTTGAGCATGGGGTTTCAGAYACGCCACCAAGACCTAGCCCAGGCGGTACCATGGCGTTGCTATCTCGAGGTTGCTGACCACTGTCAATGCTGTGTCTTGGGGAATTATTTGCCGATGATTCCTATTACAATCAATCAATCGCTTAAGCCTGGTTGTCAAGTGGAATCCCAGTGCCTTACAATTAATCAAGTGGGGTCCCTGTGCCTTRTTGAAGGCCAGGTTTCCAAGGGATTTGATAATCCACGTGCGTTTTTCTTTGGCATCGCTACAATTTCTGCAAGTTGTTAAGCTCAAAAACTTCAGAAAATGGAAAAAGGAGGTTTTATTTGCTGTCAAATATGGTAAGATTTATAAGAAAATACTTAGTGTAAATGAAGTGACAGAAATAATGCGAAATATTGCCTTACTCTGCTTTTGATCGCCTGTTGTTGTAAATCCAGCAGTTCTTGACTTGCTTTCATCTTAACTTGGATATTTTTCTTTTGATCTTTAGGAAGATTCTAYAATTAACCAAGCATTCATAAAGGTAAGAATAAAACCGATAATTTAAGCTTTAATTGCTTGTATTAAAAAATTAATAAGTTTAGATCTTGAAATAAAGTTAATCAAAAAGACAAACGCAACTAGATTCATTTTTGCGACGTTTCGAMATCCTCTGATGCCATTCTCAAGCAATTTTGAATTTATTACAACTGAAGAGCTATATATACACATGAAACAATAGCGAAAAACAATAAGATAAAATATACTATATATATACTATATTAAAAAATTATCAGAGTTTTTGCCATTCGAGGCGAATTGCGTTTTGGTTCTTCTTATTTTTACTAGGAAAACATCGAAAAAATACATAGCCGTAGTATAGAGGGAGACTTTTCCTCAACTAACCAGAAATATCTATCAGTAACAAATATTAACAGACCAAGTATAATTTTAAGTTTTATTAATTAATGTTGGCTATTGGTTTAGTTTTTACGCCTAACACCATATAGCCAACGGTATTATTTTCAAGATTTCATACAGATTCATTGAGACACCATTTAAGCTAATCAGGGTTCAAATAGAAAATGTCCATGAAAAGGTAAATATAATTATTTCATTGACTAACAAAACAACACTGATATACGACCCTTACCATTAAATTGCTATCACTGTTGCTTTTCTTTTTTTGAGGTGATGGCATCTTTTTGTTTTCATTATTGACAGAGGACTGATGAACGCCATCCCAACTMTTCCTGTTGGTAGTTTTCTGGTTCAAGCCTTGTACGTTGTCTTTGGATTTGTTGGGGCATTCTTCTGTGGCTATGTGATTATAKATGTCAATCATGTTACGAACTAGTGAACGAGCTGGCAACTGCTCTKCAAGCTGATTCTGGTCTTCATTTAGAGTTTTAACCATAGGAACTTCTCTCTTTTCAACATCCCTTGGAATATAAGGATTTTTGGTATACTTGTATACTTGAGTAGATTCTGTGGGTGAAACATTGTGCTCCAATTTCTCCTTAAAAGGTTTATTTGAGCCTGTTCTCCCTTGTGGGAACAAGTGAAAGCTTGATTGTTCTACATCTTTTGGTATATTTGGGTCATTTTTTGCGTACTTGTTTGATTTAGCAGATTGTGCTAGTGCATCATTGTGCTGCAATTGCTCCTTAAAAGGCTTATTTAACTCAGTTCTCTCATGTAGGAACAAGTGGTTGCTTGATTTTTCAACATCTCTTGATATAGTAGGGTCTGTTTTGGTGTACAAGTTTGGTTTAGCAGATTGCATTGTTGCAATGTTGTGCTGCTGCAATTGAGGTTGATTTGAATTGGTTCTCTTGGGTTGGCTGCTRGATTCTTCRACAGCTTCAAGTTCTTTGCATRTGGTCAAATGATTGTTTTTCTTTGTAACATTAGTTTTGTCATTTTGGGAACTTACACCTTCCAGCTCAGTGAAAAGGYCCAGTGAATTGAAATCAGAAGATGAACTGTYCTCTTCTYCCCAAMACGTTTTTCTCTCCAAACCTGAACGATTGGTATGAGATTCCTCCATTGCAAGAAACATACCATCTCTTTGGTCTGWGCTTTCAGAGGRAGCAGTTCTTTTCGMGTGTTCATAACTTTTTTGTTGCTGAGCTTTGCTTTCTACTTGAGTMTTCTCTGGTTGGGAATTATGAACAAAAATATCTTGTAWAATATTGTGACTCTCTGTCTTATGTTCTGCGATATTGTTGTTCTCATTYAWACTATGGCGAYCTTCCTTTGCAGTGTCTGATCTCTTTTCCGACAGATATGGCTTTGGCTTTACTGGAGTTTCCAGTTTTACCTCAACATAATCTTCGTGCAGATCAACTATTGAGTCTTTATTTTCAAAGCCATGTTGACTGAAATTCTCATTGGCTTCTTTCTCTGTCAGTTCACTTGTCCTTTCTTCATTTAAAGCTTGTTCTTTCACATACACCTGGTAGGGTTTTGGCTTAGGTGGCTTAGTGTTAAYCACAGGTGAATTGGTGACAGGTTTAGTTTCTTGGTTTTCTCTGTTAAGATTGTTAACAGAAATACCAATACTTGAGGAGTCTAATGAATTGATTCTACCTCTTTCATCATCCTCTCCTTTATGTATGTCATATGATGCACACTTYCTCGGTTCAACATTRTCTTCTGTCTCATTTKTCTGTGCTATTTCTTCTGTTGTTTTAMAAGATCTTGGAGGCTTTGGAGGACCAAAAGCAGAATCCTTTGAGCCAACACWCACTTTACCTTTCTCCAAGTTGATAGGATCTAGATTTCTTTCATCTRGCTCCAARCGATGCACYTCTGTCTCTCGAACAGTTTTCAGAGATTTTGATGCTTCATTTCCARGTAATGTGCAATAGTYATTGTCGTTTCTTCTTCTGTCTGCACTTACAAGTAGTGAATTGTCTTGATTTATCCTCTTGTCAGATTCTTGTGAAATCTTTTTGTTATGTACTGTAGATATGCCAATTCCTAGATCAACATCTTTTGGTATCTCCTCATCTCTTTTCTTCACAGTCAATTCATTGTTAGTCTCAAGAGTCGACTCCTTTTCCAAAGATATTGTCTTATTGCTATCTATCTCATGTAATTTCTTYGTTAATGAAACTTCTTGTCTTGGTGTAGAATGGTCTTTGTGTTGTTTACTAGGTGAATAACTCCCCCTGACTTTCGARTGAGAAAACAAGGAGAAGCCACGCTTTTCCTTCTTCAAAGTTTCCTCAGGAAAATCAGATGAAAGAGTTTTAAAAGTTGCTGAATCCTCAGTAGACTGTTCAATCATGTTGCTAGACTTTGCATGTTTTTCTGTATGTTTTTGCTCTTTCTTTTTTTGATGGTTATGTGTTTTTACAGTTTCAATTCGTGTATTATCTCCTGTGTGAATATATTTGGTTGTTTCACCATTTGACATTCTTTGTTTGGGATTTCGTGGAGATGATGAAGAAACAGGCAACAGTCCATGTATATCCAATGAAGAATCCTGAAATTAAACGTGTTCCAAAATAAAAGAAAGAATAAATATTGTTTGAAAATCCATGGCCATTCCTGAATAGAATTAATAATAAATCATTAGTATTTACCTGCGAATCATTGAATGAACTATTTGGAGAAGCCAGACTGATGGAGCTAATACTGGAGTCATTTGTCAGAGTCTAAACATTACAATTTAAACACTGTCATTTTATCAATTTATGGTCAACATCAGCTGTAAAAGTTGCCATTAGTAATATTTAAAAAAATGACTAGTGCTGTGCAATTGTCATCTTAGTATATCAGTTAAAGCAAAGAAACTTTGCTGTCTAGTCAATCAGTAAACCAGACAATGTTGCCGTCTAAGTCAATCAATCAGAGACTATGGTTATTGTGTTGTAGATGAAGCACTATTGTGAGAAAGTTGAAACACTACTTAATGGCTATATACATTTATTACATAATTTTAAGAAAAAACATTTTCATGGTATCTGAAGACAACATGAAGACCACATACCTTATTTTCAGATWTTAATTTACAATTTAATGGGAAAACTTCAGGTACTCGGGGAGGAGTGATAGGCCGTGAATCTATGCCTCCATAGGAATTCTAAAAAAAAAACAATATTACCAGTTACCCAGGCCATACATAATATAATAAACRGCCATTTATAATGAAGAAAATTTAAAATGCAGTCTGCAAAAGTGTAAAATGACAGGCATATATCATCATRTATGGTACCTTTGCAGAGCTTCGACTTGATGATGATTGTCCTGAGTAGCTCGATAAACTGCTGCTGTATGCAGAATGAATTGATTGAGCATCCTCGTTGACAGTCATGTTGCGAGTCTAAAATAATCAAAATTTACATGATTATATAATTTAT